ATCTTCCACCCACCAGTTCTTAAGCTCATCTGTTCAGTTGTTATGTGCCAGATGAATGTTTTGGCCTTTTGCAAAAATATTTTATAAATTTTCACAGTCTGATGTTTTTGCACCTTTCTTGTGTGAAAATAAACAGACACATGATTTTACAGTAATAAGTGAGCGTTAAAGGGGTAGTTCTGGGGGTTTGTGGGTTATCTGGCCTGCTGTTGATAATAGTCAGACTGATGTCAGCAGAAAGATTCAGGGAGGAATTTTCATGGAGGACCAAAGCTGTTCAGAAAATAATTTCTTCCATTTTAAATCACATAAGCTTCTATAGAAAGGAGTAAAGTTCACTCATGTGGACTGAAATACTATGCAAGGCAAGAGGATAGGACTAGGCTTATAAAGGTAGGTGTGGTCCTACATCGGTGCTAATCCAGTTTTTAGGCTTTAGTAAGACATTATTGTTTACTCCTGCAGTATATGAGTCTGGTGTTTAGGTAAGAAGTATTTTCAGTAAAAAAGTTAATTGTTATTTCTGTGTTTTAGCAGTTCCAACAAGAATAAATTTGTTGCACATGAAACAACTGCACATTAATCACAGGACAACCCAATTAGCAAGGTGGAACATGTTAAACGAATAAAAAATGATGAGGAAGGCATTCTTCCAGGGACTGACTATGTGTCACATCCGGCCATGGTCAGTCTGACGAACCTCCATCCATTCTTCTTATTTAAACGTCAAACAATTTTCTGGTGTTTATTGTTATGGAATAATTATTTAGCTGATAGGCTATAACAGTTGGGCACTTTGAAGCATAACTGTGGTCTTATATTTAATACAGTTGTCTTGGCAACCCTAACCCTGACCTAAAGATTTTACTTTACCACCAGTCAAATTGGTTGTTTTCACCTGAAAGGAGGCGAGACTCTGCACAGGAGCTAAAGACCCAGGTGTAGCTCTGATCTAATACTCGTTAAACAGTAGATACTTAGACTGGCTACGTTGTACATGTACTACTCTTACTACTTGATCTTTCTGCCGCATTCAACACTGTTGACCATGATATTCTAATTGATCACATTGACGCTTGGATTGGCTTGAAACAGAAGGCCCTTGATTGGATTTGTTCGTACGAGAATAAAAGACCTTTGTGTTTGCATTGACAACAGTTCTTCTAAACCGACTTCTCTCTCTTCAGGGGTCCTCCAGGGTTCCGTTTTTGGACCCCTGCTTTTTTCAATTTACATACTACCTCTAGGCATCATTCTAAAAAATATGCAGTAAACTATCGCATATATGCAGATGACTGTCAAATTTCCTTCTGTCAGTTCAAACTCCTCAATGGTCTGTGTTCAGGATTGTTTCTCAGCGATTTAAAATAGGTTTTCCTCCAAGTTCCTTATCTACACGAAGACAAAACCGATGCTATTGTCTTCACACTGAAATCAAATCCTAATCAACACTCAGACCTGTCCTCACTTGCAATTGTGCTCAAGCAAGTTCTCAATCACACTCACTTTAACTGACCTACATTGGCAACCAGCGCTCCCTCAGGTAAGGTTCAAAATCCTCCTGTTTGTCTTTACGTCCATCCATAACCTGGCACCCTCATATCTCACAGAGTTTATCACAACCTACAAACCGTCTTGTTCACTCAGATCAGCTGACCACCTACTTCTGAATGTCCCAAAAATCTTGTTACAAGACGTGTGGTGAACAAGCTTTTGGTTATGCCGGTCCAAAGCTTTGGAATGACCTTCCGCTAGTGGTGAGACAGTCCATGCCACTTCAACTTTTAAAATCCCATCATAAGACATTTTTATAATCTAGCTTTTGGAGGTTGTTAATTGCTAGCTTGGGCATCTTAGCACTGCTTTCTTTTGATCTCTTTGTTGGACATCTGTGATTGAGTTTATTCTTTTATTCTGTGTGTTTGTACATCTCTTATTTCTATTTTACTAATCTGTTTAGTTTGTTTGACAGCCTTTTACAGTTTGATTTTTATCTCTGTTCTGTATTTTATGTGCTCTTCCTCTATGCATGTTGACAGCTTTGTGGAGCATTAAGGTCAGCTGTCATGCTGTTTTTAAATCCTCCACTATGTAGCTGTCCAGACTGGTGATTGTTGGTGATTTTAACATTCACATTGATGCCTCAGACCACTTTGCCATGAGGTTTTCCAGCTTCATGGACTCCTTCAGCTTTTCTCAGCATGTTTCTGGCCCCACACACTCCAGGGTACACACTCTGAACCTTGTTTTTATCCTGGGTTTAAAGGTTGACAGTGTTTGTCTCGAGGATGCTTATATTTCAAATCACCATTGCATTTTCTTTAACTTGTCGGTTTCTGTCCCCACCTCCTGCTCACTACATGGTTAGTTCTCGTTTTTTTAATGAGAGCCCAACTAGCAAATTTTCTGCTTCCCTGTTCTTCTGATAATGACCCAGATTCCTTAACTTCTCAGTTTAACAAGCACTGCCTCTCCATTCTGGACAACATATATCCTGTAAGAACCAGATCAGTTCCAGCAATGAACCTACTCCCTGGTTTAACAATTGCATTCACAGCCCGAAGAGCCAATGCAGAAAATTTGAGCACTTGTGAAAGAAAACCCTTCTCCATGTCCATTTGCTGCATCTAAAGGTTCTTCTGACCATCCTTTAACTCTACAGTCAGATATACAAGGGTTGCCTATTTCTCCAACCTCCAATCCCAGAGCAAAGGGAATCCCATGGTTCTGTTTAACACCATCAGCAGTATCGTCTCTTCTGCTTCTCCTATAGCCTCCATCCACTCTGATGCAGACTGTGAAAACTTTCTCTTTCTTTGTGGACAAAGTCAATAAGGTTAGATCTAGCATCTCTCCTTCAGCCGTATCTCTGCCTCTTCCAACTCCAACCCAACCCGTCATCCTATGTATCTTTGCTCCTGTTTCCACAGATCAGCTGTTGTTGGTAATTCCAAGGTCAAAAATTAAATTCAGAGGTTATCGAGCTTTTTCAGTACTTGCACCAAAACACCGGAACAACCTAATACTTCATGTTAGGCTGACTCCATCACTTGTGGTGTTTAAGACTCGTTTACAGACACACATTTATTCGCTAGCATTCAGTCAGGATTGAGTAGGGACACTTCTTTGCTTTTTGGGTCTGTTTTTTATTATTATTTTTTTTCTATCTTATAAAATATTTTTAACCTGTTTTTTACCTGTGTTTGTTTTTATTGTTGTTGTGGTATCTGTTATGTTTATGTTTAGTGTTCATTTGGTCAATCTTTGCATTGTTTTAAAGTGCTTTATAAATAAATAGCTTGCTTTGCCTGAGCTAACCAAACTAGTTAACTCTATGAAGACCTCTGCATGCCCCCTCGACATCTTACCCTCATCTTTGTTTAAAACTGCTTTTCAGTCCATCGGTCCCAGCGTGCTCTCTATAATTAATGCTGCTCTGGTTTCTGGTCAGGCCCCTGCTTACTTTAAGAACCCTGTAATCCACCCACTTCTTAAAAAACCGAGTCTTGACCCCTCTCTCCATAGCAGCTTCAGACCCATCTCTAAACTTCCGTTCATCTCCAAGATCTTGGAAAAGGTTGTGGCTAAACAACTCACAGCTGCTCTTGCTGAACATAACATCTATGATAGCTTCCAGTCAGGTTTTCGTAGAGCTCATTCTACTGAAACAGTTCTTCTTAGGGTCTCTAATGACCTTCTGACTCGCAGTGATGCAGGGGAATGTTCTGTTCTGGTCCTGCTGGACCTGACTGCAGCCATTGACACTGTTGACCATCACCTGCTACTGGAGAGGCTGAGTGATTGGCTAGGCTATCAGGAACTACTCTGGATGGAGAGGTTTTCCTCTTATCTGTCTAAGTGTTCCTTCTCAGTGACCATCTACAAGTTTTGGTCCTCCACCACCTCCCTTACTCATGCTATCCCACAAGGTTCTGTGATGGGGTCTCTGTTCTTCCTCCTCTATCTGCTTCCTCTTCAGCACATCCTGAGCTCCTTGAAAGGAATCTCCTACCATCTTTATCTTAGTCTCTATTAAAATCTGGATGGCTGGGAACTTTCTACATCTGAATGAGGATAAGACTGAGATCCTCATCTGTGCCCCAGACAAGCTGGCTCCCAAAGTCAGAGACTCTCTTGGTCAGCTTGCTTCTCACACCAAACCCTCTGTCAGGAATCTTGGCGTGACCTTTGACCCAGCTCTCACCCTGGATTCTCATGTCAGTTCTCTTGTTCGCTCTTCCTTCTTCCATCTCAGGAACGTTGCTAAGCTGAGTCCCATTCTGTCCCGCTCTGAACTTGAGACAGTTCTCCACACCTTCATCTCCTCATGCTTAGACTACTGTAACTCTCTTTTCACGTGTCTGAGCAGAACCTCCCTGAACCGTCTACAGGTGGTTCAGAATGCCTGTGCTCGGCTTCTGACCAAGTCCTCCAAACACACCCACATCACCCCGCTTCTCCTCCAGCTTCACTGGCTAACAGTCAACTTCAGGGTTCATTTCAAGATCCTGGTTCTGGTATTTAGGGCCTCTTTTCAGTCCCCACACCCCCAGCAGGTCCCTGAGGTCCAGTGACCAAAGCCTGCTGGTTGTGCAGCGCACCAGGCTGAAGACCAAAGGTCTAAGCCTCTAAGGTAATTTTAGGAAAATCATTTTTGATTGGCCTCTTCTGTTGCTGCTACCTTGAATCCCTCCTGAAATCTTATGTCTGATTCTTCTAAATAAGATCATGATTATTGACTGTGGTTCATGGCAAGTTTAATCTAAATGTGCTTGTTGGAGTCTGGTGAGGGTCAAATGTAGACCTAAAATTAAAGGATGGGGAAACATTTCCATGTCTCATTGAGGAAGTGCTGCTGCTGAAGAAGAATGCTGCTGCCTTGTGGACACATCAGGAACACCCTTTGAAACCTTCCAGCAGTATCAAAAAGCAAAAAGTCCCCTGGAATTATTCAGAAGTAAAAAACGGAGATCCAATTTTAAAGCTAGATTCAGTCACATTTAGCTCTTAGGTACAACAAAACATTTTGGTGCAAGATTTTGAAGTACTCTTAAGCTATATTTATTTAGGAAATAACAATGTTAGGAAAATGTTTAACCATCAACCCAAATAATAAGGATCCATCCATCCATCCATCCATCCATTTTCATCTGCTTATCCAGAGTCTGGTCGCGGGGACAGTGATCTAAGTCAAGAGGCCCAGACTTCCATCTCCCCAGCCACTAGGGCCAGCTCTCCTGGGGGAAATCCCAAGGCATTCCCTGGCCAGGTGAGAGATACAGTCCCTCCAACCTGTCCTGGGTCTACCTTTAGGTCTCCTCCCGGTTGGACGTGCCAGGAAAACCTCACCAGAGAGGCGTCCAGGACGCATCCCGACCAGATGCCCTAGCCGCCTCAACTGGCTCCTCTCGATGTGGGGAAGCAGCGAATCTACTCCGAGCCCCTCCGGGATGACCGAGCTTCTCACCCTATCTCAAAGGGAGAGCCCAGCCACTCTGCGGAGAAAACTCATTTTGGCCGCTTGTATCCGCAATCTCGTTCTTTCGGTCACTACCCAAAGCTCATGACCATAGGTGAGGGTAGGAACGTAGTTCGACCGGTAAATTGAGAGCTTCGCCTTCTGACTCAGCTCTCTTCTCCATGACAGACCGGTACAACGCCCGCATCACTGCAGATGATCAGTCCGCCTATCGATCTAATGTTCCAGCTTTCCCTCACTCGTGAACAAGACCCCAAGATACTTAAACTCCTCCACTTGAGGCAGGACCTCATCCCTGACCCGGAGAAGACATTCTACCCTTTTCCGACTCCAGACCATGGTCTCAGATTTAGAGGAGCTGATTCTCATCCCAGCTGCTTCACACTCGTCTGCGAACCGCTCCAGCAAAGAAGATCACGTTCTGATGAAGCCAACAGGACCACATCATCTGCAAAAAGCAGAGACCTGATCCTCAGGCCACCAAAACGGTTGCCCCCAACACCTTGGCTGCGCCTAGAAATCCTGTCCATAAAGGTTATAAACAGAATCAGAAACAAATCTTTTCAATAAAATCTATACATTTTATTGTAAATTAATCATTCAGAGCCAAGTCTAAATATGGAAAATTACGTAATAATTACATCATAATTTTGACATGTAAACATAAAAGTTGTCTCTTGATGCTAGAGAAAATGGACCCATCTAGCTAGCTGCTATTGCTACGCTTTACGGAAGCTACACGACATTTACTTTGAAAGGGACTCTGAAATGTTAGATGAGAGATATCTTTACTCTGCTTTTAATTTGGTAGGATACTTTTCATCCATAGCTTCATAGTTTCCATGTTAGCTAAATGCTTAGTTTAAAATCATCCTATCTAGATTTAGATTAAACTTCATTTACAAAATTTAACCCAAATATTTCGATTTATTCATATACATTTAGTTATTTGACAAAAACGTTTTTCTTCAATTAGAGTTTAGTGATAATATTTATTTTTAAGACTATTATTTCAAGATAAATGTGATAAACATAAATGTAAAAAAGATAACACACAGCTGATTTTCATCACGTTTAATTTTTTTGCTTCATTTGATTTATAATTTTTTTTATTTATTCTTTCATTTTTCAGTGTTGCAGAACAGATCCCGTTTTGAACGTTTCCATCAGTGCTGGTGAGCATCTACTTGTGATGTTTCTCTGTGTTTGTATGATTTTCCATCATGATGTGTTGAAATGGCTCCAGTTGTTTGAGCAGAGAGCACCGTAATGGGGCAGCTACACGTGCGAGGCGTATAAAGTTACTGCTGCAGCTTTAAGTGTGATCAGAAATAAACCGTAAAGGTAAAGGAGTGATACAGAAACAAATGGAAAAAAAACAGAACCATGCTGCAGAATTTGACGTGCGAGTTGTTGCTGTTTCAACAGACTCCACCTGCTCAGCGTCCACTCTGCTTTTCCTTTAGACACTCTGCACCTCATGCACTAAAGCCTGCTCGAGTGTAGTCAGCCACGTGACCTCCAGCAGGCCTACCTGGCTCCTCTGAGCATGCAGGAACCCTCCAGGGTTCTTTCTCTGCATATTTGAGTGAGACTGAGCTGTTTACACTGCTCTATGTGCCTTTTCCTTTTGCGCATTATACTGTTGGAATTCTGGGATAATAGCACCACAAACATTTACTTGGAGTTAAGCCTTTGTTATGAAGACTTCCAAGTATCTGCTTTCCTCTTGGCAGTTCCAGAAGTAAAAGCTGTGAAAGGCTAGACGGAGCTTCGCCTCTTGAACACCCTGAATGGAGAGAAAATGTGTAGGCCTGTTGTTATGGAGCTTATGCTCGTGCATTGACGTGGACTGCATACGCAGCCTGTTGATCCAGGCTCCATGTAGTGAGGACAGTCACTGTTCTGCTGCAAGTAGGCATCAGAAAATGGCAGCTCCTGAGGGATCATGGTGGGTGTGGAGCCCTGCAGCTTCTCTTTGCTCCTGTACCACAAACAGGAGCATATAGTTTGGAAATGCAGCACTTCAGTGTAGGCACCTTTTAAACCTTTAGTCTTGATGGTGCCATCTGCTACAGGTGTGGAGGAAGTCGAGGTTGAGAGTGGTAATAGGCATGTCACCTTTTCTCTGGGCTTACTGACAGACAACAGGGCCTTCTGTTTGGCATCTCGTCGCTCATCCTCAGTGTTCATAGTCAGGAAACGAAGCACGACCAGGTTTAGGAACGCTCCAATCACAGTCAGCCCCGTGAGGATGTAAACAAAGCAAAAAGCCACGTACCGGGGGTCGTTCTGCAGTGCGTCATCCCTCTGCAGAGCCACATAATCTCCAAAGCCAATAGTGGTGAGAGTGATGAAGCAGTAGTAGAAGGCATGGAGGAAGCTCCATCCCTCGCTGTGGGAGAACGCAGCTGCCCCCACACACAGGGTGCTCAAGCAGGAGAAGAAGCCCACTGTCACCATGTTCGCCATGGAGACTTCCGGCTGACGTATTCCCAGGCACTTCTTGGCTTGGTGCAGCAGGTATCTGACAAACGTGTTGATCCTCTCACCCAGGCTCTGGAACATGACCAGGGTGAGCGGGATCCCGAGCAGGGCATAGAACATGCAGAACACTTTCCCTGAGTCAGTGCTGGGTGCAGCATGGCCGTAACCTGAGAGAAGGTACACAACAGTCAGGAAACTGTATCCAGAGTTCACTTTTAGAGGCAGATTTACACCAGCAGGTGGCAGAGCTGAGATGTTTGATGGTGATTCAATGATTATTATCCACATCTAATAAATACTCAATCACATACGTGCTTCAGCCTCCCGAAATACTGATTTCCACCAAAATTACACAGATCTAATAATGAAATGCGAGTTAATTAATTTTACTAATTAGATGAATGAATCTCATATTTTTAATATATTTATATAAATATATATAATATATATGAATATATTTTAATATATTTATATATAAATAAATATATATATTTAATATATTTATATATAAATAAAAGCTTTGATTGATTGATTGATTGATTGATTGATTGATTGATTGATTGATTGATTGATTAAATAAATTGCACATTTTTATGGTGTTTTTCTAAGTCAGGTACTCAACATGCTTTACAGTAGCCAAGGCAAAGCAGCTGTATGGTACATTACACATAGAACAATTAATACACAAAGGCAATTCCATGTGCAGAACAATCATTCACAGACACATTTCACAGATGGTGGTCATGAGCTACATTGTGGCCACAGCTGCTCTGGAACACACTAGGAGCGAGGCTGCTGAACACAGGCACCAGCCATTCCTATGACCACCACAAGCAGGCGAAAAGGGTTAAGTATCTTTCCTAACCACAGATCCGGACGGGGTCTGGGTTTGAACCGGTGAACTCTTAAAGGGATATTCCACCCATAGGTGAAATTTAGTCTCTGGCCATACTCCACAGAGTTAGATAAGTGGGACAAAAGAAGTTTGTTACCAGCCCAGTCATTCTCCTAATCTGGCAGTATTCTGTTAGCTTTAGCTTAACATAAACAATGTAAGTGAATGGTTACTGCTAGAAATTCTCATGAAAGTCACGATAATGACCCAATAATGATCCTAATTTTTCCATTGTAGTCCTCTGGTCAGGTGTGGCCTGCACCTCTCTCATTTTGGAGGAATTCCCATTGCATAAAGATGTTGTCTTCCTCATTCCACATACAGAATTCTGTGAAACACTTGTGGCCTTAAGGATTGGCTATTTATTTATTAAATGATCAATAAGATGTGATGTTCCATATAAATATGAAATATCAATCTGATTGGTCTTTGAATCTTTTATTTAATATTCCTTTAGGTTCTTTGACTTCTTCAAGGGACACACACACTTCATATTAATTCAGACAGAGTCAAGAATACATGCTGGTGAAGGTTCCCAGTCATCCAGGTCATGGTAATCCAAAGGGTTCAAATGAAGTCAATTAGACTTCTTTGGTTTATTGAAGATGTTTTGGAGGAGAAGCAAAACGTCTTCAAGAAACCAAAGAAGTCCAGTTGCCTTCATTTGAACCCTTTGGAATAGTCAAGAAATATAGTTATAAAAATTATTTTAATACTATTTTCCTAAACTAAATGATTGTACATGACAAAGTATGAATTAAATGATGGTTGCATAGATAACAGGTGATGAATGAAATGATGGAATGGAAGCTAGATGTTTTAATAAAACCTTTCTCAAGTATCTGAGAGAGCTTGTGGAGTCTGGGTTGTAAAATCAATTTGGCTGTATGGTTTGATAAGCTAAAGATTTGTTTATAAAACCATTCGGCGCAATTTGTGCCGCTCTACACACCCTTGTGTGAATATCCCCAAGCGATCCAGGGGGTCAGGAGGTCGAGATGGACACTGCTGATGGCGTGGACTTCTGGTATGGCAGCCTGAAGGCAGCTCAGAATATGACCCTTCTAGTCTGGGTTATCTTCAGGTGACGTATATAGAAGCTGGAGTGTCTATTTTGCGTCTGTTTGGTGGCTCTTCAAAGAGCCGTTGTGTCTGAAATCACTCGCAAGTGTTGCAGGGAGGCTTTGACCTTAAGGACAAAAGATAGGATGGTCTCAAAATGCTTGTTCACCCAAATGACCTTATCAAGGGACAGGCGAAGACTGACTAGATAAGGAAGTGATTCCTGTTTTTATTAACTTTGTTTATAAACTTGGACAAACCAGAGTTTTACATGTTTAAGAGGGCGTTAACAAAGAAATCACACCTTAACTCAGATACTCAGAGAGGTCAACCTTAGTGTGAAGCGAGAATGTTTTTACACATTTATGTGAAATGAATGTTGAACCTTAATATTAATTTTATGATATATGAGTATACTGATAGATTAACTTGTTAAATCAACAAATACTGATCTGGTGTAGTTGAAGATCTGAAATGAATCATTACAGGAAAAATGTTCATTTTAACACATCATTGATTAATGCACACATTATTCAAACACTTTGGGATTTAACAAGAGATTATTATATGACACTTATGCAATTATCACGTTTTAATAAGTCGTTTATGATTCAAGGAAGATGAACTTTATTCAGAGGGAGAGTGAAAAAGTCTTGTTTTCTGCATGACTTTTGTTCCAGCCACACAAACGAGAACCATTTTTCTTGCATTAGAAATGTGACACACTCATACTATGGCAGTGAAAACTCAGTGCAGCTCACACATTTGTTTACAAAAGTAGAGGACTTTGGGGGGTGTTGTGTCATGTCTTTGTGCCTTACAGCAGCTGAGCTTTGTCGTGATGTAGTCCCAAGGCTAAATCGGCTCCTGTAGTTCCGTTGTGTTACTTATTATTGTTTGAATACTGTAAAGCATTCAAACTATAGTGATCCTGTTTCTCTTTATAGTTAGTAGTTTATTATTCTGCTTCCGTACATTTTTTGGCATTTAACTACTTCCACAATTCTTCAACTATTTACACAATTTTGGTATCAAAACGTTCAGCTTGTTCAGCTTATGCCGGCAATAAATTTTGGTATTAAAGTGTTTTATACGTTTTGAGATATTCAGCTTTTTCTGCAATTTTTGGTCCCATTGAAATGAATGGGATTGCTCAATTTTCAGCTAAATCCTATCACTTTTTTGAACTCTTACTCTAATAGGTTAGCTTTAACCTAGAGACTTCATTCAAGTTTCAACAAACTCACAAGACTTTCAGTCATTACTGGTTAAAAAATCTTTTACATATCTATTACAGTTTTTCTAAAATCACAGGTAGAAGTTGAGGTACGGCTTGAGATTTTCAGAAAAAAATCACAAAAATTATAATGGGCAGAGATAGGAGCAATGACCCTCCTTTGCTCCATTTCTGGCATTGTCCTGAGAAAACCATAAGTCCAGTTGAAATGAGACGCACACGGGCTTGCAGCTAACGGGTATACCTTCGTTTTGAGCTATAAATCATGAATGTACTCCAAACATTGTGGTCGTACGGTTCATTTGTTTGAGAATATTTAATTTAAAAAAATGTCTCTCACCACTCTAAACTGAAAATTCCGCACTCTAACTTTTGACCTTCACATTTTCTGGAAACAACTCTTTCCAACACCCAGACCGTTTGGAGTACCGAAACAGATTATATCTCAAAAAGTAGGAATTTTTGTCAGCTTTTCAGAATGGGTTTCATTTTATTTGTAAGTGTTATGGTTCTTTCGCTACAAGCCTCAGAAAGAGGAGAGACCCAACTTTTCCCTCATTGAAACCCATGTTAAAGGAACAGAGATTTTGTCCTCCGATCGGCTTCAGACAGCTGAAATGTTCTCGTCATAGCTTCTAGATAATTCATGTTAGGCACATAAAAATTCACACAGATGACCATCAAAGCCTTCTGCCACTCACACTTTTTGAATTTTTCAAATTGGTGAAGTACTTTTCTAATGGTGATGAGAAGTTTGACAGGTCCAATTTCACTTCTGAAGGACAGATTTAAAGGCTTCTCATTAACAGGGGTACAGCTGCAGGCCTCCTACAGCCGGGGGAAAAGGTGGGAAAACAGTGTTGCTCTCTGATTGGTTGAGTGTTCAACCATTTTCTGTCCAAGCAGGATCGAGCACCCACACATATTATACATCAAATCGACCAGCTTGGTCTCAGGTATATTGTATTCAATTTTAAATGCGTTATCCGTTACCATGGTAAATCAAGTGCATAAGGACATCCCCAAACAAGTCTCACTGAAATGAATGTGAAAAGCCTAATACTAAACCTATAACATACTGCTGTTTCTTATCTTTCTGAGCTCTATACACTTAAAACTAGCAGCATAGCTGACATTTTAACACTAGTCAGAAGGCAGGAACTGCCCCCTCCTCCTTCGCTGCTCTCTCACTGGCTGAGACATTTTAGGCACAACTGTATCAACATACTTTAATATAGAAATGTTATTTAAAGTTTAAGTCATGTGATATTGTACATTGCTTTATTAATGCAGACTCCTGTCATCTGTTACTATGGCAACACAAGGAACTACAAATCACTTTAACCAAGTCTCATAGGAATGAATATAAAAAGCTGAATATTGAGCCACTAACAGACTTCTGTTTTTGATCTTTTTGAACTATCTGTACTTAAAACTAGAAACAAGTTAAATATGATTGACCGTCAGAAGGTGGGAAAGTGCCCCGCTCCCTTCCAGCTCCCTGATTGGTTGAGAGAGGTCAATCATCTTCTGGCTAAATGGACTTACACACCCACACATGTGATACATCAAATCGATTAGCTTGGCCTAAGGAATCCATCCATCCACAAATAAATCCATCCATGCTTCTATCCATTCATCCATCCATCCATCCATTCATCCATCCATCCATCCATCCAATAAACCATCTAACATCCATCCAACAGTCCATTTATCATTTCATTCATCCAACAATTCATCAATTCCATACGAAGTCTGAACATATGTTAATCTATCAGTTTCAGATATCAGTAAATGTTTCTAAATTCACAGTTCAGCCAATTGTAAAAATTTACCTATTAAAACTATTCTCATTCAAATGCCAGCTGTTTAAACATTTCAACTTTTGAGTTTTTAATCAATGTTCAAAGATTTAAGTTTTCTGCTGTTTAGTATTTTTTTGTCCATTCTCCACCTATATTCTGAGCTTTATTACACTTGTTGGTAATTTTTGCTTCTAAATCTGTAAATACATTCAGCTCATTTTGACAGTTTAGCTTAGTTTCAGCTTCACTTCAGCTATTCAGCTAGCCTAGTGAACTAGACCAAATTCTTGCTTTGCAAAGTTTGGTCTAGGCATGCTCCATTGGAACGTCTGCAGCTCCTACCAGGACTCTGGCTAGCCAATCACAGCTCTCTAGAGGGGTTCCAAACACATAAAGAGCTGTGATTGGTCCATAATGGTGGGCCAATCATAGTGCTCTATCTGCTTAGTGAACAAATCACAGAGCTTTATCCGCTTTGTGGGCCAATCAGGGCACTCTATATGCCTGGTGGGTGGGATGATGCAGCAGAGTGAAACAAGAGTAAGTCACATTCATTGTCCAGTGGAATGCAGAGATCATTTGAAAGACAACGGTAGAACCCGCCCCACAACCGAGAGCCGTCAATGGAGCGTGGCCAGACTAAATAATACATTTATTTAGTCTGGCTTGCCAGGCTACTATTCAGCAGCTTCAGCTATCGGTTTCCAAATTTAGCATATGCTGCTAATTTCACAGTTCAGCTAAATGTAAATATTAAACTGTCAAACTTGTTCTACTGAAATAACAAGTGTTTAGACATTTTAGCTGTCCAGATTTTTATACAATGTTCATAGATTTCAGTTTTCTAGGATTATTTTTCTCTATTATTCACTTACTTTCTGTGCTTTACTTGGTTGGTGCTTTTTGCTTCTACATCTTTCAATACATTCAGCTCATTTTGACAGTTTTGCTTAGTTTCCGCTTCAGTTCAGCTATTAAGCTGATTCAGCTAACAGTTAAAGCTATCCAGCACTCAAACAGCATTTCTGCAAGAAATGCAATTTATCTAGTTTTCCTTTGCAGTCGATGTGATTATTAAGGTCACTAAAAAAATAGGATCACTGTTGAGTCATTTTTTTGCCTTTGTCACACGAAATGCTAGCTGTTACCATTCATTTACACTGTTTATGCTAAGCTAAAGCTAACACATTACTGCCAGATAGGAGAATGACCGGGCTGGTTAAAAATGCTTTTTTCCACTTATTTATTCATGATTTACCACAGTTTAACTCATTTACTGCCATTGATGACTAAAGTCGTAAATTGTATTTTTTTACGGAGCAAATGTCGGTACGAGCCACCGCACTGTGAGATTTAACATCACGTCTTTAAAGCTGATCTTCATCCACGTACGTCACACTTCACGTGATCAGGAAGCAGAAAATCCATGTGCTAGGAGATCGCTTTGGGCCGCTGCTGTGAAAAAAGTGGGGCGCGAACCAGAAAAGCTTCTACCGATCACAATTCAAGAACAAATGATGAAAAATGCTCGAAACGTGCGGATTCTTCCTGATGTAAGAAGTGAGTCTACTCTTTCTTTTGGTAGTTTTGGTGTTTACATCGTTGTAAAGCACAATGTTCTGTGACTCTCCAAAAACAGTAAAAATGCTCAAAAAAGCTGGGAGCCAGGGGTTTTACTGATCAGGAAACTGCTGGCAGTGAATGAGTTAATGGATGTTAAATAAATCACACTAAAAGCGATGTTAGTTGAATGTTCTTTAACAACACATTTTGTTTTACTCACACTGTTAACCAAATACCAAAATATTAGATTTTTCCCCAAAGAATCCATGTTTTTTGTTGCTCAGTGGTTTGTGCTTGATCTGCTCTGTTGGTGCATTATATTTCAAATCAGAAGTCAAACTTTCAGAGTTTCTTTTTAGAAGAATCCACTTGCACTTCGAAAGTTGGAGATCCAAGTCTCAACCTCAAAATCTACGGCTGCCTCAAGCAACAGTAATGTTTTTATTTTCCCTGTCTTTGGTTTATAACTCATGAATAAAGTCCCACACAGACAGTACACATATCTGCACATCCTCCACTGGACTACCTTCATGCTGATTATCTGGTAGGAACATCTGATGTGGTTCTTCACCTCCATCAGACTCCAGAACACCCAGTCTGCAGCCCTGAAGTGCTTCGTGTCATGTCCTTGCAGGTCGCTGTGTTAATATAGATCTGGATGCTATGTCAGAGTGTCTATCAGTTCTGAAGTTGATCAATCTAGAGCCAACAAACAGGTGATCAGGTGATCAAGGAAAGATTGTTTACATTTGATCTGACCACTTCCTGCCTCCTGGCTCCGCCTGTCACACCTGAGTCATGTAAAAGTGAGATGTCATGTGACACAGACAGACAGGATCTGATAGGAACTGGGCTGACTGGAGACAGGCTATCATAAAAAACAACAATAAGGGTCACATGAAAACATAGTATTGCTACAGAGAAAGACATGATTGTGTGAATACAATTATTAAAGAGCAAGTCACCCCCAAATCAACTTTTTTCTTCCTGATAATCTATATAAACGAGTGTCTAATTGTGCTGTAGACATGTGCAGTCAATAATTTGGCACTTTAGTGCATCTTAGTTAAAATTTAAATATTCTGCTTAAAACTATCAGTGTTGTGTAGTTGTCAGGTAAAAACCTGCACTACATTTGAATTTAAATCTGCTATCGCTATTGGCTAAGAGATACACTATGACGTTAGCTGGGACATTATGATGTCACAATGTCGTTGTGAGCCTGCATGTGTGTGTATTTGTTAGTGGCTCCACCCTCTCAGTCTGCTAGGCAACAGCATTTGCTGCATTTTTCAAACAGGAAGTGGAAGAGGAGTAAGACTCTGGTAGGGGGTGACTTGCTCTTTAAAGTCTTGCTGGGATTCTGATTTGCAACTGGAGCACGTCTAAGCCGAGGGTGGCATCATTCCCAGATCTGAGTTTGACCACTTAGGTGTTTGATGCAGCAGAGCTCACATCTGGACTGCAGCAGAAACAAACTCAAACTGAGTTTGATCTGGATGTGAAACTAGAGAAGATACCCCCGGTCTCTTTGCATCCAATGTAACTTTACACAAATGCTAAATAACTATTGTTTGAAAAAATTAACAGGGCAGCAGTAGCTCAGAAAGTGGAGCAGGTTGTCCAGTAATTGGAAGGTTGCGGGTTCGATGCTGGGTCCCGACAGAGAATTCTGCTGTAGTGTCCTTGGGCAAGACACGTAACCCTCCCTGCATGCTGGCGGTGGTTGAAGTGAGCCTCGCCTCTGTCAGTGTTCCCCAGGGTAGCTGTGGGTGAATGTGTGTGTGATTGGATGAATGATACACTGCAGTGTAAAGCGCTTTGGAGTCCTCTGACTCTGAAAGGTGCTACAAGTGTGGGTCATTTATCATAACCAGCTCAGTGGCCTAGTGGTAGTGTCCACCCTGAGATTGGGGTTCAAATCCCCGTCGGGTCATGCCAAAGACTTTAAAAATGGGACCTAATGCCTCCTTGCTATTACACTCAGCTTTAAGGGGTTGGATTGAGATGGTAAAACCAACAAATAGTTCCCAAGCACAGCCACAGCTCACCGCTCCCCACGGGGATGGGACAAATGCGGAGATGAATTTCACCAGTGTGTGATGACTAATGGGACTTTAACTTATTACAGCTCACACCCACCTGGTGACAACATTTTCAGTTTTAGTACGCTGTCTAAATCTGTCTGCCCCCGTTAACACATGAATATTTTGGCCTTATGGTGGACTCTGTCTTCTAAACTAAAACAAACATGTTCCATCACAAAAGGCGAGGATGCAGAGATCCAGAATCAATCTGCTGTTAGGTTTGTCTGCACACAGAAAAGGCTAAATGCAGTAGAAATCTGTTTAGATTGTGTGTGTTTATGTTGTTTTTGAATGGATGCCATGTTTTGGGGGTGGTTGGTAATTTCCAGAGTGCTTAATGTGACGGCTGATGTGCTTTATACTGTAGCTCTTCTCTCTGTATTGAGAGCATCATTTTTAGCAGATGGGAGAGTTTAGATTTATCTCTGAAATGCAGCCAAAAAACTCTTATTTATTATTTTTCAAACAGTAACTGAAAGTAAAAGGAAACGGGCTTTTTCACATTTCTACAATTGTTTCAAACAAAATTTTTATTCCAATGAACAAACATCAAAAGCCGCCTAAACTAGTGAAACAGTCATGTCGCTGAAGTCGCTCCCCGGCGCGCGCTGAAAGCGCAGATTGGGATAAGCCCGCTCGTTAAACAGGTAGTTGATTAAAGCTGCTCACCGATGGTCGTGATCACAGTGATGGCGAAGTAGAAGGAGCCGGAGAACCTCCACTGGACCCCGGCTTTGTGCGGTTTGAGCTGCAGGATGACGTGCTCCAGCTCCTCGAAGTTCGCTTTGGTCAAGTTAAATTTGCGCATGAGTTCGTACTTCCTGACGTCCAGCTTCCTCTTGTGGCTCTTCTCTTGCCTGGACTCCAGGGTCTGGAAGACGGCCGCTCCGACCACCAGGTAGGTGAGGATGCTGATGATGAGGGCCAGCGTCCTGGCGTTCTGTCTCTTCATGGTGTCTCGGAGGGAGCCGCGGCACTCTGCGACCTTCTCCTGACGCACTCCGGATCCAACAGAGGAGACTTTTGGAGATGGAGCTGCACCACCCCCACATCACAGTTGGGTTGCTTCTGTAGGCTATTTGGACTATTTGTCACCGGGTTATATTTAGATGCTGCAGAAAAGACACGCAGGGCAATCCCACAGACTTATAAGAGGCAGCTCGTCGGAATATGGAGCTCCTCTTTCCGAGGGGTTGGTTCTCTCACCCCATCCTCTCTGAGGTGCTTGCCTGGGGGAGAAAATCAGCCTGCTGCAAAAGTCCACCACAGATAACTTGTTCAGCAGCTTCCACCCTGTCATCCTTTCACTTTGCAAACTTAGGAGGAAATCCTTGAAGCAATGAACTAGACTAACCTCTGTCAGCGAAGATGCCGGGTTTGGTGCTTCAGCTGTCTGAAGGGTTCATTCTCCAGATGTTTCTGCTCCTGTCACAGATGTTCAAGATCAGGCCACTTCAGAGCAGCCCAGTGTTTGGTTCTGATCCATTCTTGGTGTTCTGAGGACCCATTTGAGATGGAGACCAAGGTCTCGAACTCTGGGGAGCACGTTTGTCTCCAGAAGGTCATGAGATTGAGCCCTGAACACATTCAGGGCTCCTTGGTCCAAATGTCAGGTGTGCATCTCTATCTTTTATCCTCTGTCCCTCAGGTGAGTCCTGCATCTTGATTGGTGACCAACAACCAGGTTTACTGATGATTGGTCCCTTGAGGCTCTTATTCTAGAAGGTGTGATAGCTGTCAGTCAAGCTGAGCCCCTGTGAGGTCAGCCTGTCACTATTTTAGCTCCGCCCAGTAAGGAAATTCCAAAAACCTGCGCGCATGTGTGTGTGTGTGTGGCTTTTGTTGTGGTGGATTAGCTCTATATGCTCAGAACTGAAGCAGAACTTGCGTTTTGTTTCATCCTAACTGAATCTGATTTATGTCCTTCTGCATCCTCTGATATTTGTTTACATCTGATGTTAAAAGAAGTGCAGCAGCTGAATTTGAATTGAAACATATGAATTGAATGTTCGGTTCAGTTACTGATTCTGGATCAGCTGTGGGTTCATGTCTGGTTGGAGGATCTGTTGAAGGAGAGCCTGAAAACCACAAAGTTAAAGGAAAGAGCGAATCTGATCAATGAATTAACCAAAGTATTAATTATTAACACTTTGTGTCTTGTTCTGCAGACTTTGGGCTTTTATTTAACCAGATTATTATTTCTATAAGTATATTTAAAACATTTGAAAAACAGAAAGCTGTATTATTTTACACATGGTGCAACTTTAAAAGGTGAAATATTGAAATACAGGTTCCTGGGCTCTCCTCCTACAACAACATGTATGAGGCAGCAGTAGCTCAGGTGGTAGAGCGGGTCGATTCCAGCTCCTGCCAGGGGTATCCTGCTGTTGTGTCCTTGGGCAAGACACTTCACCCAACTTGCCTGTTTTAGTGGTGGTCAGAGGGGCCGACGGTGCCAAATGGCAGCCTCGCCTCTGTCAGACCTCCCCAGGGCGGCTGTGGCTACAAGTAGCTTACCATCACTAGCAGTGTGTGAATGTGAGAGTGTGCGAAAGCATCTTTGGGTTTCTAGAAAAGCGCTATATAAGTTCAATGCATTATTATTATTATGTATGTGTCTGAAGGGCTCCTGTATGTATGAATGAGTTTGTCCCTGTGAAAGATGGTGACTTGTCCAGGTGGGACCTGACTTGTGGTCCCATGGAGACAGGAACCAGCTTCCCAGGATCAAGATAGGAAATATGGAATCTTATTTGTTGTTGTTTATGTTGAGAACATAAAAACTAAATATTTCAGGTTAATTCACTCGATGCTTCATTAGGTACACCTCACCTCACCAGTCACCTCCTTAATTCTTCATGAAATAGATCAGCACATGTTCCTCTGAGGTTCTGGTCCATACTGACACAACAGCTCCATCAATGAGGAGAGCCTCCCGTTTCACCACATCCCAAAGGTTCTGGTGACTGTGGAGGTTGCTGATGCCCAGTGAACTCATGGTCATGTTCTAGAAACCAGTTAGAGATGATCTGAGCTTTGTGACATGATCCTGCTGGAAGTAGCCATCAGAAGATGGGTCCATGTGGTCATAAAGGGATGGACATGGTCAGCAACAACACTCAGATATGCTGTGGTGTTTAAACCAGGTTCGGGGGGACTGGGGGGGTACACAGTGTGACCAGAACACCTCCACCACCACAGCAGCTGCCTGAACCTCGAATCTTCTTTCTTCTTCTCTCTGATTCTCAGTTTTAACTTCAACAAGTCATCTAGAGGAGTAAATGATGCTATCAGATTGGCTGACTAGATATCTGTGTAAAGAAGCAGCGTGTACCTAAAGGTAAAGATCAAAGATCATAAATCAGACAAAGCATCTTTAGATCATTTTAATTTCAGTGGACATGGCTCAGTCAGGAGGAACCTGCTGTGAAGAATAAAACAAAGAACCATTTCTTACTGTAGTTTTATTTCCTAATTGTAGTTTCCTTCTGTGACGACATCATCAACAGATACCAAAGATCGTAAATTCAACTTTGAGAAAAGAAAACGTCGGCTGCTTCCTGTGATTCTCGACAGCCCATGACACGTCTGAAACATTTAGTGTTTTAGTGAAAAACAAACAAGATAAACTTTGATAATTTACGTTTCGATAATTTAAGTTGTTTGACGCGTTTCCCTACCAGCTCTGCTTAAATATTACAGCCAGTGGCACACACGCACCTATGCCGCCATCTAGATTAATGAGAATAAACAGCACATGTGAAATGTTTTACAACAAAAATAAGAATAACCAGTGTTTCCCCCAGCATGGCGGTTCTGTCATGCAGACCCAGACCAGCTGTTTCAGGCTCTTTAACATCACACATGGCTGTCATCGTTATGTTTCTCTTCAAATAAAATGTGCTGAGCTCATCCTTCATGAGGTATTTGGAGATCTTCAGGTGTTGGGTCGCTACAAGGCCTCAAACTCATCAATCCTCTGCTTGGTGTTCCCCAGACGGATCTGACGGAGGGTCTTGTACTTGTCTCTTCCGGCCCGGACGTTCTCAGCATGCAGCATGTCGTACTGGGTCTTCCTGGTGTCGTCTCGGGCGTGTGCCAGGTCTGAGCTCAGGTCCTGTGAAGGATTCAGCCATAAAATCATCAGCCATGGTTTTGCATGACTCTGGTTGGGTCTTTCCCTAAAAGAACCCTTAACCCTCTCAGGCTCAAAGTAAGTTTTGATAAAAGGACGAACAACTAAGTCCTTCAGGGGGTACTTCTGAGTTAAAAAATGATAAATGACCCGCACTTGTATAGCGCCTCTCAGAGTAAGGACTCCAAAGCGCTTTACACTACAGTGTATCATTCATCCATTCACACACACACACATTCACACACTGATGGTGATGAGCTACGGTGTAGCCACAACTGCCCTGGGGCGCACTGACAGAGGCGTATCGCGTCAGACCCGTGCCACAACCCGTGCACGCGCATTGGGTCCACAGCGCGCGCGTGAACGGGACTCGCGAGCGAAAATATACATGGCGAGAGGTCATTTGTGCACTGAGAGGGAGCAAACTGTGTCTGTGAGCGCACAAGGATGTGCACAAGTGACAAACCTGCGTGCGCGCGTTGCCAACGAGCACACGGCAGAGGAAAACGTGCGCGCGCGGCAGCCTCTCTGCGCGCTCGGCAGCCTCTGCGCGCTCGGTTTCTAATTCCGCTCGCTCGGCTGTGAGGAGTTTTGGCACTCTGGAGGCGTGGCCTGTGGCAGATCTTCCCTGTCCTCTGATTGGTTAGTTTACCCCGCACTTTACTCTCTAGCTATCTATATAAAAAAATCTGAGATTCAGCAGTTGCTGGCATAGCTCAGCTGGGAGAGCGGGTGACTCTCACTCTGGAGGATCCAGGTTCGAGTCCGGCCAAGGAACATAGAGTTGATGTCATGATATTCTTTCCTAATTCCTGTGATATTATTTTACAGTTGTGACCGTTCAACTGTCATTAAACGTCCGAATGTTTGCTGGGCAGTGTTTTAAAAAGTGCACATAAGCTAGTGCACAAATGACCTCTCGCCATGTATATGTTCGCTCGCGAGTCCCGTTCACACTCGCGTGTTGTGGCACGCTTTAAACGCCAAAGAGGCGAGGCTGCCGAGCACAGGCGCCACCGGTCCCTCTGACCACCACCAGCAGGCAAGGTGGGTTAAGTGTCTTGCCCAAGGACACAAAAGCAGAATTCTCTGTCCGGAGCCGGGATCGAACCTGCAACCTTCTGATTACTGGACAACCCACTCAACCTGTTGAGCTACTGCTGAAAAAAATGCTCATGAAATACATATGTGGAGTAACCAGGTAGATAGGTTTTAACTGTTGCAAATCTCCCAACGCCTGCCTCCAGAGGGTTAAGAAATGGGAGAGTTTGTTTAGATTTAGAGCAGCAAATATGTTAACTAAGAATTAAAAAAGTCTGGCTTTGCTTTAATAAAACCTTTTCTTTAACTTCCTCTGCAATCTTAGTGGGAAAAGGAGATAAACCTGATCATTTATCTGTTATATACTGTTAGAGACGTGTAACTAAAGCAGCAGAAGGGTGTTTGTAGCGTTCCGAGCACAACTGAAACACACTCACACCTACAGCCAGTTTAGAAGCACCGTTTAACCTAACAGGCATATTTCTGGACTGTGGGAGGAAGTCAGAGTAGCAGGGGGAAAAAAACAAACAAATCCCACGCAGACACTATGAGAATATGCAAACTGCTCTGAGAAACGCCCCGGCTGGGATTCAAACGTGTGACGCTACAATCCACCCCCCACAATCAGGTACTTTATTGTCAGAAAGGGGTTTTGTTTCTTTACAATAAACTAGAAAATGTTTGAACCAGCAACATCAGCTGAAATGAGAAACTGAATAACAGCAAAGCAGTTGCTGGTGGCTCATTAGGGTCACCGTGGTGACCACATGCCTGTGCCCGGAAGCAAACCTAGCAAGAGACCAACAGGAAGTGGTTCTGAGGAGGATCTGGTGAGTTAGAAACACTTCACTTCCTGTTTTGAGAAGAATATTTAGAGCTAAATATGACTGTGTTCTCTAGCTGCACTCTCTAATCCAATGGCAGATCTAGGATTTTTCTGAGTACGGGGCCATCAAGGGGCCACAATATTTACAGGGGGGGGGGGGGCATATATCAGTCAAACATGCTATTTATTAGCACTGCTAGTGTTTGGAATTGGAATTTCATTCACCTACAGAAATGGTCCGCAAATGGCGGCCCATGGGCCACATCCGGCCCGCGAGCCCTCCCTTTGTGGCCCCCAAACCCTGCGTGCACCCCCCACCCCCACCCCCGATGGCCGACCAGGAGGTGTAGGATAAATAGAGCTGAGGAAAATAATCAAATAATCAATGCATGAGATGCGGGCATAAACAATTCTGCATCATAGAAGAGTACCATAATCAATTATAGTGGAATGTAGTTTTGTTATTTTAACGGCGGCACCAGCGCAGCATCCACATCTGTCAGAGCGGTGTTCTCCACATTTACCGGGTAGGAAACTTTGGTCCGCCTTTACGTGGTACTGCAGGGCTGAGCGCTGGAGTTATAACCTGAGACCGAACCTGAAGCGAATCAGCCCGATCGGTTCTGTTGGAATTGGGCCATGAATTATGTTAACTGAGCGGGTTGTTGCGCGGCGCGCTCCGCTCGCTCGATCGGGGGGGGGGGGGGGGGGGGGGGGGGGGGGGGCTCCTCCAAACACACATTATTTTTACAAGTGAGTGCTGTGATGTCGGGAGGTCCGGTGTTGGGGAAGGAGCGGGGAGAGTGACGGTGGCTTCAGCGTAATCATCTGTCTCTTATTTAGGGACACGGAGAAGTTAAAAGGAGAGAGAAATAGAAGTTCTTGTTCCACTTTATTCTTTTGTTTCATGATGATGAACTGATTTTAAATTCGGCTTAAAGAGAAACTGGGAGGTTCATTTTAAGTTACAGGAGATCTTGTTTCATATCTGCTCCTCCAGAGACAGCATGGACATGAGGGTCACATGGTGAGGGTCCCACAGGACAGGTTAGTGCAGTCACACAGCCGAGCTGGAGGGGGACAGGTGTTGTCCTGCTTTATATTGCAAGCTTGTGTGTTATCCCTCTTGCTTCTGGGTCTTTTTTTTGTGAGTGGCCCTCGGACCATTATAATTGAGGACCCCTGACCTACAGGACAGGGGCACTTCAGAGGGCCAGTCAGATTTCAGCAGGGGCCAATGCCCCTGTGACCTGTCCCTAGAACCGCCAATGCTCCAAATAAAACATTGGACAGTTTTTAAGCTAAAGCTCTGAGATGGATACCGAAGCCCTCTGAGCTCACCATCAGCTGTCTTTTCAGGCGCTCGTTCTTCTCGGCCTCTGTGAGTCGCTCCTCCTCCTGGCGGTGGTCGTAGATGCCCTGTGTCAGCAGCTCAGCACTGTAGGTGCTGTTATCTTCGCTGTGCTCATGGTCGCTCTCGCTGTCTGAGGAGGAGGAGGAAGAGGCAGCGGCAGGAGCTGAGTTAGGGGGACTCATCACACTTTGCAGCTCCTCCTTCGTCTTTAGGAGATTCTCCTCCACCTCAATAGCCTGGAACAAATGAGGAGATGTCAGGGTGGAGGGCAACTTCTTGCAGCATGCTTACATGCATAGCTCATGAGTTACCTTTTTATTAAATTATGAGTTATGACTCGAGCTTTACAGCTCCAGCATGGGTGGGACACTCACCTTGATGTGCCACGTCTCAGCCTCCTCTTCCTTTGCCTTCTTGGCCTCCTCCAGGACGGAGATCTTGGCGGTGTACTCGGCCAGCTCTGCAGCCTGTAGGAGAACAACACAGATCAAAACTCTGAGCCCAGAGCATATTTACCTTTTCACCCCTCAGACCCGTTTACAGGAAGTGATCTCATCATCTTATGAGTAAAGAAGGAAGAGAAAACCTGATATCCAAGTTTACGCAACAAAAAAACAACAATTTTCCCAGGTTACTCCCATTTGTTACATTTAAATGTTCAAAATATTATTTTTTAACTTTTTAAGCTAAGAACGGTCCTGTAACAGAATGAAATGACTGTTTTCCACCTAAAAGTCATTTCCCCCCTCTCCTCAGCAAGAACTAATCTGCATGAGATATTGCTCAAGGTCTCATGCTCTGCTTCTTAACTGTTTCCTTTCCAGCCCAAGAGTAGAATGAAGACAAAGGACTCTTTATTTTTAATAAATCAAAGAACTCTATTTTAATAAGCTAATCAAACAAAGTGTTAGTCAATAAAAAATGTGAACCAATTCATGAAATGAAAATATTAATTACTTGATATTATAATCTTATAGAATATCATAAGTAATATAACTTTAAATGTTTCCACTAGAGACTTCCACTATGTTTATGTTTATGTATTTAGCAGACACTTTTGTCCAAAGCGACTTACAAGTGATAATCGGCATGTTGCCCTTGAGGCTAACAACAACAATAACAACAACTTGACATCAATCATGGAGAGGAGGGGACAAGGAGTGGACAGTAGAGAGGGGGGACGGGTGTAGGGAGGGTGCTAGTTAAGAAGATGCTCTCTGAAGAGCAGGGTCTTCAGGAGATTCTTGAAAATTGAATAGGAAGCCACTGTTCTGGTAGTGCTTGGTAGGTCATTCCACATTTGTGGAACGATGCATGAGAAGAGTCTGGATTGTCCTGATCGTGGTGTAGGCACTGCTAGCAGACGATCCTGATGTGACCGGAGCGGCCGGGCCGAGACGTAAGCCTTTGCAAGAGGATTCAGGTAGATGGGAGCCGTACCATCTCGGACTTTGTATGCTAGTGTTAGCAATTAGAATTTGATGCGTGCTGCTAGCGGTAGCCAGTGGAGCTCAATGAACAGAGGGGTGACGTGTGCTCTTTTAGGCTGATTGAAGACCAGACGCGCCGCTGCAATCTGGACCA